ATGTGTGTGTGTGTGTCAATATGTATATATATATAAATATATGTACATATATACATATACATAAATATGTATGTATTTAGTGTCTATTCGTCTAGCAAACGTACGAGTTAGTATCTTCGTACTGTCAATCTAATTCCTGTGTTTGCCTGACTCGTAGAAACGTGGGTTGGTCGCCGCCGCATTCGGTGACCAGGGCAGCGACACTGTACGAAAAGCTAGTAGTCGATTGACGCTCGAGGATTTGAGGTTCCTGTTTATGGGCACGCGCGATGAGTACTTCGACACCCATCTGGATGCACTCTAGCTTGACTGGAGATTGCTGCGTGTACTAAATAGTTTGACTGGAGATTGCTGCGTGTACTATATAGTTTGACTGGAGATTGCTACGTGTACTATACTTCCCATCATTCGCGTAAATGGATTCGTGGACTCGACATACAGCCTGTGTTTTTAGATGATCCGGCTCAATTTGTAGCGGACGCCGAAGACAAAATAAATAATTCTAGAAGTATTGGCCTGGTATTATATATGGGTGTCATATTGGTCACAGGGACCGCTGCAACGTGCCGAGTGCTGAAGTGTACCGTGGAGTCTGTACTAAGCAGTTAAAAAAGCACATGCATGGAATATTCGAAGCCAAACCCATCTCACAGACTTATTCGCTTTAGTTGTTGTAACTTTCATTTCGTAATATGACGCGAACTATAAAATGTATTGAGTAAACCAGGCAATTGTATCCGCTACATATCTCATTGTCGGATCGTGCAGCTTCGCTTAGTAGCGCACTTTAGAATGCCTTTGTAGAAAGCCAAAAAAATATCAGTGATATAATGTGATATGTTAGTATGTGTTGTGGCGCACAGCCATATGAGTACCTTCTGTTTTGTGCACGCGGAGCCATTGTTATATTCCTCGATTCCTTATCGCTTAGGCCATTCACTGAAATCGAGCAGGGTTGTTTCAGATAAGGCTGTCTCGCTGTCCACAACATTGAAATCAAAGTTAACGACGATCAAGAAGCCTCCATATACGACGACACTTTTTAACCACATTGAGCGACGCCATGAAGATATCTAACAATGACCACCTCTGATACGCACGTGCAAGTGGATATTGAGAAGGATAGCTTTCATTCATTGTTGCTTCCACCTCGAAATAATGATCGAAATTCACTATACACATGTCCCTTGCTTTCTCGACGTCAGGCACATGGACTGAGCTCAGTGTAATAATGATCTTCAGAAGTTCTTTGTTCACGCATTTCACTAAAGAGATTTCGATTAACCTCAGGACATCGAGTATCGTGGATTTCCCCTTGCCCTCCAGTCCGGTGAAGACAACAAAAGGTAGTGCATCGCCCATTAGTATCAAGCGAACAAGCGCCAAGATACCCTACTTTGTTGCCTTCAAGCTAAAGAAGACAAGATTCCAAGTGAAGTGACAATTTGGTTCGATTTTCTCATCTCATTATACCTACTATATTAGATGTTCGTCAGAGGCGGCCTGTGCATATCTTTAATTTTGCCCTTAATGTTAAATAATTTTTACGAACCTATTAATATTTACGCGCTATTGAAGCCGGGGTTAGCAGCTCCAGATGTAGAAAAGAACTGATTCAGATATGTGTACTATTGTTGTTACACGACGCCTATTCTCCACTAGCCCCTTCAAAATAAGGGCAGCGATAAGTACTTCGAAGTGATTCGATAGGTACTTCTAAGTGATTTTACTATATATTTTTATTGTCATTGCACTATGCCTACTTGCTTTTAAGCTCGTCAAAGGCGGCTTGCGCGCAACGTTTAAGGTCTTTATAACTCACCACCAGTATGGATTGTTCGTCTCGAGACATCAAACACACGCGCTCGCTCGACCCCGCATCCAGCTGCGGACAAGAAACGTAAAAAGAGAAACTGTTTGCAAAGAGCTCCGATTGAAGGTTGACAAGCGGGTACATCGCATCGAATTGTATTTTGGCATATAACAATTTGCTAGTGTGTAGTGAGTTATTAAGATGCGAAACAGTTTGAGGTCAAGTGACTAGTATGCTGTTGGGACCCCAATCATAACCGATTAACCCAATGTGCTGCAAGGGCGATGATAGTAAGCTACTCGGGTACAAGACAAACAACAACTTCAACAGCAGCATATACTTAACCCCCCTACTTGATACTTATGATGGGCATTATGGGGTACATGGACGAATGACTACAGCCTAAATGTCCTAATGTGGGTCTTGCTGATTAGCCGAGTACATGGTTGGGGACAGAATATAGAAAGTGGTTCGGATATATTATT